ATCCATCCATCCATCCATCCATCCATCCATCCATCCATCCATCCATCATCCAGTGGCCTTCTTGCTGAAAGGCAACAGCTCTACCAACTGAGCCACCGTGTCAACTAAAGCAAATCCATTTCTTAAATATTTCATTGCTGTTAATGTAAATATTATAATATAAACCTAGACCAACTAGTGTATTATGGTTATTTTGACTGATATGATATTCCTGTAGGAAGTGCTCCTGGCTGCACTCGAAATAGTTTTTGCTACGTTTAATTTGTATTCATATGAACTTAACTGTGTAATGTAAAACTGATAATGATATAACGGTTTAGCTGCACTTACATAAATCACTGTGACATTCTTGAGATTGGAGTTTTTTTAAGAGAGCAACAGTCCACTGCAGTCTGATCCACATGGACTAGCTGTTGACTCACCAATTCAATCAGAAATAATCTCAATATCTCCAGATATAGGAAATTCAAAGAGATGCTTTCAACAGGTAAGACACTGACTACTCAAAACCTGTCCACGAAACTCCACACAAAAAATATTTGAATTACAGTTTCTTTAAACCCATTATTCAAGCTAGACAGCACAAAAACTGACGAAAACTCGAGACTTTTTGTCAAGAAATCAGACAATTTAATCATTCACAACCACAACAAATGACTGCAACATATATTGATGCTCAACAGGGTGTATTTCCTTTATTTCTTTTAATTTTGTGATACCTAATTGTTTGATTTCAATCCGATTGAAACGACAACAAAAAAAAAATATATTTTTTTGAATACGTGTTTTTTTTTTTTAAGAATGTGTCAAGAACGTGACGTAACAGAAACGAGGAACATGAAGGGACCAGGCACAAAAACAAGCAGTGAGATGAACTGCAGAGAGGAGAGCCAAGAGAATAAGTACTGAGGGTAAGGACAAGAGGATGCAGCTGAGACTGATGAGTACGAGGAACAGGTGTGAGATGAGGAGCAGGCCTCATGAAAAAGGCTGATGAGGAAATGCAACGTGAAAGATAACGCAGGGGGAAATTGGGAAACTAACTGAACGTGAATAAACAAAGGAAAAACAAGAAAACGTAAGAATAACAAAAGGCCTAAAACAACAAACAAAAACTACAAAACCACAGATCACGACAGAACGACATTCTTTTGGACTCCCCCAGTTCATTTAAACTTGTGAGTACAATCAGAAAAGAAGAGACACACAGTTTGTGTGTGTGCGCATCAAACACATTGACATGAAAAGAAACTTCACAGTCTCTTTTGCATTTTGTAGCATTAACCTTTAAAACCAAAGCATGCATTTTTGCAAATCGTTTAAGTTTAAATACTGCAGCAGCTTACCCAGACTGTCCACAGAGTCCTCTCCACCCTGGAAACTGGACTGTTCTGGTCCATCTGTGTTCTTCTTGTTTTTCTCTCTGACCATTTAACTTGACAAGCACAATCTTTTTAACACCTTGATCAGAAACTTGCTTTAAAATGCTTCTTCCTAAATGTGATCAGAGGCTTTGAGAAGATCAGCTGACAGTTAACTTCCCTCTCTTTGCGCTTTTTTTTTTCTAGTGTGTTATGATGAGGAAGAGGATGATGACGCAGCTGAGTGCGGCAACACCTTGCGGTTGTAAAAATATTCTCAAGAAGTTGAATCAGGTTATGTGTCAAATGCATGAAGTTAATGTGTGGAATGTTCAAAATTGGCTTTGTTGCATCAGGGGCAGCTATAAACAGCAAAATACTTGTAGAGTGACTTAAAGGAATATCTAGGTATTTTGAAGTGAGGTTCTGTGGAAAGGAACTTGCAGTTCCTCATTTTAAAATGCTTGCAACGTCTCTCTGATGTATAATATTGAATGACTAGGACCAAAACAATTAGCTGTTATCTAAAAACTGTTACAATTTTATGATGCATGAGCTTCGTATTGAAACTCTGGCACAACAATTTCCTGCGGGATCCATAAAGTTCTATCTTATCTTACCAGTTTGTGAACTGTGCGCACAATTGGGGAAGTTGGAAGTGATAAATATACAGAGTCCACTCACATCAACACGCTGAAGGTTTATATTAACTGCAGCAATTCATGCAGCTTGCTATAATTCTCTTCTTATTTTGCTAACATCGCGTTATAAAGAGAAGAGCATCTCACTTCACATATGAAACTCTGTCTGGGAGTTATGTTGCATGCAGAAACCCATTGACCAGAACATTTTCTGGCTCAACTCAAAGCTAGAGATTATGTGTCATGCGTTTGACACAAAGAAAACCATTAGTTCTGCTGCATTTTTTCAAGTGTTGTACCATGAGGCTGATTGTTCAACATTTTCTTCACACGGGACTTTCACTTTGAGCATGTCTCTCTCACCTTCATTGTGGTGAAAGTATATAAACGACTAACAATTGTGCTTTACAACAACGGCTTCGTGCTGCATTTAAAAATGTCCCAGTGCGTCGGTGTACTTGTGTGACACCTCCTTTGCAGAAAAAAAAAACCAAGTTCCTGTGGTCAGAGTGACAAAACCAGAAGTATATTTTGAAACGAGAACTAATTTCTGTAGTTCGCCATAAACACATGTCAGTTTTGCACATAACTCTAAACAGGAGGGAGCCACAGTCACTGAAGACACATTTTTATGAAGAAAATTAAACTTGAAGCAACACTTCTTTATCAAAATGATCATTTTAAAGTGAATATTTCGACATCAATAATGGGTTTTTATTGTCAAATTAGCTGTACAAAAATATCAACCAAAGGAGGAAAGCTTTTTTTTTATTAAAAAAGAGCAAAACATTTAAATATACCAAAAAACAAACAAAACAAAAAAAACTGTAAAGGGCTATAAAATACAGTATTTATTGATAAGCTACAGTTCAATGTGCAGTTTATATTTAATATAGACATAAATATTAGATAAAATAAAAGGCATACATGGAAAAAAAGTTTTGTTGGGGCTTTGTTATGCAGAAGATGAAGTTTCCTCATTGGGCTCTGAAAGACATGACAGAGTGATGAACACACTTCCTGTTGAGCAACCTGTGCAACAGACACAGTTACTGATTTTATATTTAATTCATAGTTTTCACACACACACACACACACACACACACACACACACACACACACAC